GATACAGAGAACAATCTGACCTGGGAGGAGGGTTGAAGGATTTTGGTGAAAAAGGTGAAGGGATTTAGAAGTCCAATATGGGAGTTACAAAATAGTCGCAGGGATGTAAAATACAGCATAAGGAATAGTATATAATATCGTAATTACTATATATAGTGCCAGGTGGGTACTAGACTAATGGGGGAATCACTTCATAAATTGTATAAATGTCTAACCACTATACTGTACACCTGTAACTAATATAAAATAATATTGAATGTCAATTATAATTGGAAAAAAATAATGTCTAAAAATGTCTAGGCCTGAGAAACCACAATCCGCTCCCCAGGAAAGCAATCGTCATCATCGCCCTGCAATCCTCAGCAGGGCTCTGTATTTCTCGGTATAAAGTGCGCCCTCTGATGGGTGTGAGTCCACAAGACACCTGCAGGAGGAAGCTTCCCAGGAAGAACTGGGCTTTCAAGAGTTTGCCTCCCTTTGCAGGTCAAAGGGGCCTTAAGCTTAGATCCTGCCCTCAGGCCTCTACCCGCATTGGAGTAGCTTTGGACCACTACAGATATTTTTAAAGACACAATGCCAGTGTTTGAACAATTCCTAAATAAAGCGAATGTATCTTTTAAAGGTGACAACCTCAAGGAGGGGCAGTGCTGACAGGACAGAACGCCCAGGAAAGTTTCCCAAGGAGCCTCCGCCCAAAAGACTTCCCACAGGACGTCTGTGCTCAGGGAGGGCCTTGGGGAGAGGAACGGGGATTTCATGCAACTCAATGTAAATCTACAAATGTAAATCTTTTTTTAAAAAAATGGTACATGGCTCTGGGGAAAGAAAGGTAATCAAAATATTGTGTCTGTCTGAAATGCACCCCAGAAGAAAAAGAGTGAATAACGACCGCGTGAATTGGAGCGGGGAATTTGGCTTTCGGAATGCAAGCTGTAATCTGGAAATATCAGGGACTTATTCTCAGTTCCAGGAAGTGCTAGGCTGAGAAGTCGGGGTCGTAGATTTGAGATCCTGTTCCCCAAACATTTGGGGGAGGAAGATGGGACTGGAGACCACACACTCCATAGCTCCTCCCACGTACGCGCCTCGGAGGCCGAGTCTTGTATCTACCCTGACGACCCTCCCTATTATCATCTTACAAACAGGGGAGTCGCGAGGCTGCAGGCGCAGAGCCGCCGGGACAGGTTGCCGGCCAAAGTTGGTGGCCTGCACTGATGCAAGCGGACCCCCGGTCTGGGCTGCGGCCCAGCCCCCACACTGCGAGCAGAGGAGGCTGACGTCCCATCGGCGCCCCGGAGGGACTCGGGCTCAAAGACTCGGAAGTTGACCAGGGGGAGCCCGCTTGCATTACAGGCGGTTCCAGCCGGTTCCAACCAGCCCCTCGTCGCCGGCTCCGTACCAGCCCCCGCACACTCACCATTTCTGTTTCCTGGGTCTCCCTGAGTCCTTCCCACTCTTACGACCAGTGCAGATCACAGGGCGACAAAAGCTGCCGTATAGCCTCCAGAGACTGTTAACAGATAGTGATCTCAAGGAGCTCTAAAGCGAAAACGGATGTCTTCCCCGTGTGGCAATTCGCCTCGCCCCTACGTGTCTAATTGGCACTGGGGTGGGGAGGCGTGGCTTAGTTAAATCAGCTTCTGTAATTGGGAG